CTGCTTCGCTGGCCGCGGGCTGACCTGGATCTCAAGCTCCTCCTTGTCCAGCCGGCACTGGGAGGCGTTTCTCAACGGCTGCCCCTGCGGCCCCCTCACCCACTGCCCGTCGGGCCCGCACGTCTTGTAGACGAACCGGTGCTGAACTGCAGGGGGTGGGGGGTGCGATGGTCAGCGCCACGCCCGGAGCCCGGCCCCCACCCCCCGTGCCTCTGCAGTTACCTTTGTGGTACCAGGGCAGGTACCAGGGGCAGGAGATGCTGGCCGTGGTGTTGGGGGGCGTGTCGGGCCAGCAGGAGTACTTGTCAAAGGTTCTGTTGCAGACCAGCTCTGCAGGGGCGGGCGGGGCTCAGCAGGCCCGGCCCTCTCGTCCCCTCTGGGCACCCGCTGAGAACCGTCCTCTGCTCCCGCCTCCCAGGCCTCCCTGACCACCCGCCTCCCCTGGGCCACTCTGCATTTCCCCCAACTTGCCCCCCACCTACCTGGGCCCCCCCTTCCCAGTTCCCTTCTTAAAAGGGCCTCCCGCTCTGGGGACTGAACCCCAATTTTGTTGGCTCTCTTCCTGGGCCCAGCACCAACCCTGTGGGCAGTCCCTGCCCCCCTGCCCTGTGTGGGCCCCTTCCCTGCCAGGACAGTGCTGGGCCTCCCAGGCCACCCCTCCTGCTCCTGCCTCTCTGCACCCCCGGGGCCTCCAGGACCGTCCAGGACTGCCAGCAGGCCGTCCGAGCGCACCACCTGCAGCGCCATGCCCGTCATGCGCATCCTCACCTCCTGCTGCGTCTGCAGGTGCACCTGGGGGCAGGGACACACCTGCTGAGCGGCCGGAGCCGCTACCCTCCCCCACGCCCCTGTGGGCCAGGTGCCGCCACCTCCCCCTTTAGAGGCAGGACACTGCTCAGGGCAGCAAAGGGCCTCCTGAGGGCGCCCAGCCAGGGGGTGGCGCTGGGACACATGCCACGCCCGCCACCAACCTACTGTTTACAAGTGACAATACCAGGGACGGTGCACCCACCAGGCCCGCAAGAGTCCTCTGGGCACCTGCTGTGGGTGGGGATCAGCCGCCCCATTTTACAGATGAGGAAACTGAGGCAGGACCCAGCAGGGTGACTCCAGAGCCCACTGTTCAGCCTCACTCACTTTGCAGGGGACCAAGTTATGGGGACTCAGAAGCATGGGGACTGGGAGAGGCAGGTGGGGCCTGGGCAGGGCAGAAGGGAAAGGCCGCCTCAGGCGGTCACACCCTGCGGGGCCGGCGTGGGCAGGTCACTGGCTCGTGCCTCAGTTTCTCTCGCTGTGCTGAGGACGAAGGAACTCAGTGGATACACCCTCCCCCGCCCCCTTCAGGCTCTTCCCGGGGCCTCCGTTAGGGGAGCAGCACATGGGGATGGAGAGGGCTTGTGCCCAGCTCAGGGACACAAGCCGCGTCCTCCTGCTGCCCGAGCCAAGCTGGGCAGGACAGTGGGCACTGGGCCTGCGGTCAGGGCAGCCACGCGGGCAGCAGCTCCCGCCCAGGCAAGAAGAGGCTGAGGATCAAGTCAGGACATGAGACAGAGAAAGATCCAGGAGCTTTAAAATAATTTCCCCAATGACCATGCTGAGAGGTAAAACCCCCGGCTGGGCCTCCTCCACGCCAGCCTCCACCCCCCCCACAAGGCCACATGCTCCCGGGCAGAGGGGAGCCCTGCTCCTGTGGCCACCTGCCTCCCCTGACTCATCCTGGCAGCAAAACAG